TTCTCATGCCTGCGAAACTAATGAATTTTGACTCGTTGATTCACACAATCGAACAGTGAATATGAATTCATCTAGACATTTTCATAACCTGGAGTACAACGTGACATGATGTTGTACTAGTAAGCAATATTGGGAGTGGACTTCGTTACCTCACCCGTTATTTATTATTTTCCTCATATAACGTAGGTAACTCGGCACAGCCTAATCATAATTAAGTATAAGGATCGCCCTGGTCTCCAGTGCTTTTGGCTACTCGCCCAATAATTTGGCTGATAAAGAAATTACTTTACCACAACAATATTCCTGTATTTTGCTTCAAGCAGATCAACGACGCTGTATAGTATAGAGTTAATGCAGCTAAGGGACGAACAAGAACAACAGTTGAATTGCATGCAGCACGTTGGCTTCAACACACAATGAAGGTTTAACAGCAGGATGAGCCTAGGAATAACTGTAGTACCTCTATCTCCCTCTTCTAAGGGAACAAGTTAGATTATTTGATGTGAAACTTAAGAAGAAACGTCTGACTTCTCAGTTAAACTCGTTTAATATAAACCATTTATTCTAGCTCATTAGTACCTTAATGTGGAAGTCGAAGCACGTATGCAGATCAAACGGATTGCCAAATTGTAGATGAAGGAACAAAGGATTTTGGCTACTCGAAACATTTTCTTACCGGAATTGAAACGATGGCTCTTGATGTAATTTCTTCATCATATCAACGATTTCTGTGCATCAGCTGAAGGACTACGCGACGTTGACTCTACTAAACATCTTGTGAACTTTTTGCGAACTTCGTAGCCGGCCATTCCAATGTCTTTAATGGTGGTTGCAGATTTTGAGTGAATTTGCTCATTGTCTTTTTGACGAGAATATGTCGTAAAATGAATTATATGCATCCAATTTCAAGAATGCATTTACCAACTATCAACGTAAAGATTGAGCGAAATTCTGCAGTATAGCATAATAATATCTCATTAGTCCGAGCAAATGGTTCAGGAATACTCTAAAAAAACATTAAGAGCACAAGTTTTTGTTCGGTGTACTCACGAACTAGTGAAGTCATAGCACAATGTCAATGTTTTGTAGACTTTGAATTCCGAAGTACCTAGTTCGAATCATCTCAAAGCAAAATGTTTGCATTATCCGCGAATTCAATTGAGCAAGTGATTAATCCAATGTTGCTTCTGAGCAACTGGCTAAGAAACGAACAGTAATCCAGTAACTTGGGAATGATAAGGACAGCATAGCGTTATGGTCTGGCCATGTCTAAACGGAAGGAGCGCACGGCCATGCTGTCCGATGCGAGCGCCATTTGTGGCTACACTGACAGTGACCAACTTGATAGCTCACCATTCAGTGTAAATAGTCGGCACATGTAACCATGGTTTGAAACTCTGAAGTATGTTTTGTTCTGTCGTTCTTCTTGGGTAAGATGTAGCGGTATGGTTATTTCTTAACCTGACATCATTTATACTGTCTATTTTGAAAAAAAACTTTTTTTTTATTCTTTTTGTTTTCTTTATGAAGTAAGTACCTTTCGCATTCAATACATATACCGGTGGTCAGAACCGATATACAGTTCAACTATCTTTTCGCTACAGAAACTGAACTTGACTAACGCTTAACTTGCATATCGCATATTCTACATTACAGTAGTTGTAGCAAATTAGTCACGGTCATGGATTGTGTCGCGGGTAGCGGTGAATGACGACATAGCGTTTCGAACCGTCGCCTCTTCCGCCGCTGTTTTTAATTCGATTATTCCGTCTGGCGGATGTTTGACATCTTTAGACGAGGTCGTGGTGACGCGACGGCCGGATTGTTTCGTGAGTCGCGCGGCAGCGTGGATTCGACGTATTTTGCCCTCTGACTTGTCGATGCTAGGACAGTGGTCATGACGGCAGCGGTCGACACGCATTTTCTTATTTTTTTCGCCGTTCTTTGCTTTTTGTGTGACTTGTGAGTTTCAGGTGACGTGCAGTCACTTAGCTTTGTTGTGATTAAGAATAGGTTTGGCGGCGGTGGTCAGCGGGCGATGGGCGGTCAGACAGGGAGACAGATGATACGGGGCTGTACTAATGACAGATGGCAAGCGAGAAAATTTTTCCCTTCCGTCGGTCAGTTCGTCTAGCTAGATCTCATCTGATCGAGGCTATACGTCATCGCCGTTCGTCCGTTCTCGTTTTGCTGGTGGACATACCACAATACTACCTGCGTATCACACATTGTACTGTAGTCTGGTCTGCTCCATTGATTGGTCGTGTGAGTGCGGGCGCCATGATTTGTGTTGTCTGTTCTGTTTCGAATATTACCACCTGTCCGAATCGAATGTCGTCATCACGAGACCATGGCCATGGTCAATACTTCACCGAAGTATCAGTACGTACTTGCTGTATGTCGGCGTTTCCGTTGCACGATGAGAGTGCGCGTCTCAATTGCAAATTACCGGCGCCTGGCCGCCGCCGATCTTCGAGACCCTCGGATGGCCCGGCGCGGCAGTCTCTCTTCTTGTTCTTTGCGCGTGATACAACGCAACCACCGTCGGTAGTTGTCGATTTGTTCACTCACTCTCTTTCTTCACTCTCGCCACAACATTTGCTATTCCATGGCGCGGTTGTGGCTGTTGCTCATCGCCGTCCATCGTCGTCGTTTCCATTTATACCGTTCAGTCCTCCTCGTTATCGATCGATGCTCTCCGATCAATAACTGTCGATGGTGGCGGTACCTGGAATCACAATTTTAATTTTTTCATTCGCAAACTAATTTCGCATTTATTATATTTTTCTTTACGCTTATATACGTCGTTTTTATTATTTTTTGTTTTTAAATTCTTGTGATTACGCTTGCATGTGCTTCGAATTTTGTGTTCTAAAGTTCCATCAGGCCAGTTTTTCGATGACTCACGTCGAAGGTGAAGCAGAAGCTGCTCTGCATTTTTTAAATTTTTTTTGTTTTCATAAATGACGAGGTAATGACGGAGATAAATAAGTGAAAGCAACGCTTACTGATCTTTTGAACCAGAATTTGTTAAGCCGTTGACGTAAGTTAGAAATCCTACTGACCTTGCTTCTGATTTGATTATTTGCCATAATTTTTTTGTGCCTCTTATTAATTTGCATTCTTCAGACGCGTTCTTCGTTATCGTCATATTTCTGCCAATTTCTGACAGTGTTTAAATTTTCAAGTCAAAATTAGGCTGGGTTCCGGTTTTGTATATTGTCATCAATAATGCATCTTATGTACGCGTTTATAGACGCGTAGGACAAGAACAGATGAGACAATGAATGAATAAATAAGGACACAAATAGGAGTCTGCGGTGTCTGCCCGAGAGAGGAAGTTAAAGAGGGCAGGAAGCGCTTCAGGAAAGCCTGGCCATCGCTGGAATAGCGAGACATCAGACTTTTTGCAAGAGAGATTAAACGACCCGTAGACAGACCTCCAAGCCGATGGCAAGCGAAGTTGAAGAAGTTTTTTAATGATAGACGGAAACGAATTGCAGTTAACATAAATTTATAACAGAGCCTTCGGAAAGCCTTAGTCCAGCAGGGGAACGAAAAAGATATTGAAAAATAATGATGTTGAAAAAAAGCATTATATAAATGGTTTGCTATTACACAGTGCGATATAATAGTCTGCTGACAAGCATCACTATATTTATATTATGTTTTTGTTCCATCTCTGTGTGTTTGCTGAATATCATAAATGGATGATCAAGGCGTTGCAGTTTATTTTATTTCGTATATCTCACCTCCTCCCCTAAACTGACATTTTCGACCAACCAAAGTCGGCTCTTCTTCAAAGTTGTAATTGTGTAAAGTTTACTGTAGCTTTGAAGGTGAACTGAACTTGGTGGGATACCTCTTTGTGGAGGCGAAATGTATATAAGTAAAACTTTAACAAGTATTTGTTATTTTGTGTAGTCATACATTATTCTTATTATCAGTCACGTGGTGATATAATGGTATCAGCGGTGAGCCTTCTATGCTTTCTAACGATGGCTGCGTTTTACCGTTTCGTAATTGGTGGACCTCTTCGAGCAAGCTATGCAATCATATGTTTAGTTGTCTTCCTTTGGGTTGCCAGCAGGAAGCGCAGAATACCCTCCATTGCGATTTTTTACTGCTGCTATAGGATTACTGTGAATATGTATATACCTGATTGGTATATTCGGTGCATTGCCAAAAACTGATCGTTGAGGTAGTTCAGTGAGTTCGACGATGTATTAATTGATATTAAGAAAATTCTAATGATTGCTCACTCATTTTGTTTGATCTTCTGCAACCTCTAAGTCTCAGCTGCGTAAAACCGTACTGGAAACATGCAAGTCTCATAAGACTTTAATCTAATACGTTGCAACAAGGATCTCGATGACCAAATCAGTTAGAGAACGTTGGTGGCCGAAGAGACGGAGCACCTCAGAAGTACATCAGATCTTCCTTGTACGATTGGTCGCAGGATTTCATTACTAGATGATTGATTACTGCATGATTGCGTTGTCGTTCAAGAACCGTCTAAACACCAGTGTCTAAGTATGATTTGTATACTTTAGTAGCTAACTACCGAGTGATTGTTGAATATTACTTTAGCTGTCTGGCGATCAGCGTGATCATCTGCAGATGGCGTTTCCATTTCTAAGTTTTGTACCTTCATCATTTGCCTAGGGGTCTTTTGGCCCAATGTGTTCGAAGTATCTTCGAGGATTTATGGAGCCGCGAATGCGATGTCACTTGCTTCCCAGCGCTGCGCCATATGCACGGTTGTCCGATCGATGATTCGGCAGAAGGGCATATGGATGAACTAACCACATTTTTGTGAATGCCGATTATTTAGAATTTAGTTGTAAAAGATCTGAGCCCATTAAAAAACACGTGTCGGTGCCACCGTGTGAATTTCGCGAAAGATTAGATTGACGGGAATTCTTATACGCTTATTCCGTTGGGAGTCATAAAGCATGCTGATCAAATTGGCCTATGGAGACAGATACACCCTTTGATTAATCAGATACTAATGCTGTCTTTTTCAACGGCATGATGTGTGATCTTTCGTCATTAATGTTTTCATCTTATTATGAACGATGTGCATTAATAGTATTGCCTGGTTTCATAGACAGTGTCATGTTTTCTCTGATAGTCAGAAATCATGGTACCATGCTCTTTGATAGATGCCTTTAAGGTGATTAAAATGGGCAGCGATTCCTGGGTATTAATGCACCTACATTTCAGGAATGCATTTCGCGCCAGTTATTTTTTTGACAGGTCATCAAAAATAACGCATAACTTCTGCCAGATCAAAATTCAACAGCGTATTGCATCGCACCCCTGTTCCTCTTTGCCTAGTGGTACCATTTAAGCAGTTCACGACTCGATGGTGTTTGAACACCTGTAGTACCAGATGCATCTTGCATCAGTCTGTCTGCTAGAGCCACCTCATGCTTATCACAAATGATGTTGCAGGAGATGATTTTCCTTATGTTACTGCATAAACAGTGGAACACTAACATAATCTGTGCGTGATATATCTTTGTGTAATGTAGACTGTACGCCACGGTGACAATATAAAACAGTGACTGTACTTTTCACCATTGTATTACATACTTCACAATAATATTACATTGTCAGGTATATCAGTGGGTTGTTTTATGCGCGAACATTTCTCTGTAAGCATAGTTGCAAACGGGTTTACTTCGTCTGAGTTCACATAGTTTGTTGGTATCCTAATGTGCATGGATATTTGTTGCATTTATAATATGGTTCCTGAAGATGGATTAAGTTCGATCCGAAAGTCTTCAAAATTCTCGACATTTCTACTATACAGAGTTCGCCTCTGCGAATGTGCATGCTTATGGAGAAATAACTTATATTATTTTATATACCGAATGCTCTGTGTAGTAAAATGTTGCACAGTGTGTGATAGTATACACCTTATAGTACAATGCAGTATCACTGGGGAGAGAACAAAAAGCACTGTTCTCTTTTATGTTATCACTATATTGCATAACTTAAAATATGCTATCCGATCTATGCATGAATAATATCCATAAAATATTTCATTGAATATGTGCTGCGAAGGATGGTGACAAAAACAAAATTGTACTTTATTAAACTAATCTTGTGAGGATACGGTATTCTGTCAGACGTTATATATTTTTATATATATTATACGTTATGTGCAATATTCTATCGTGTGTATACCATATGTATGGTACTCATAGTATTAAAAAATACTGCGCCACAGGACTGTGTGATGCTCTCACTATTAAAGTTTCAAATCTATCGTACCCACTGATAATGAGGTATTACAACTTATTGTAAAATATTTTCGAATAAGACAGTATGAATGACTCATACTGTGCATCATACGTTAGTAGTATGTACGGTAATTATAGCTTAACTTAGGCTATCAGTTTTTTGGTCGAGTTGGAATGTTTGTTTTTCTTCACTTTCATGATTTGGCCATTTTGGTGCCCTTTTAATAAAGTTGATGGTGCGTTGGGGTTCTATATTTTTCTGCATTCATTCAGAAGTGATTTATTTTTTAAGGCAGAGTTGACACTTGTCTGGTTAGCGTATTGTCTAGTCTCCTGTTTTTCAGCACAGAGTAATAGGTCATTTATTAGCCTCGGAATGATGAGGGGCGAGTGACTCTGATCGGGACTTAAACTCAGGACGTATCTCTGTGGTATATTACTGTACGGCTATCGTTATACTGTTGTACGGCAATGACTCGAATATGTTATAAGCACTTGAATCAGTTGAACATACCGGTAATCGGCGACGAATTGCCCCGGCTGAAACATGCCAAAGATTTTTCCTTATCCTCTCGAGCCTTCCCCTTTCAATCGCGACCTTCCCTGCTCATAAAGTAGCCTTCCCACTGTACTTGTGATCACCCAATCGCCATCGTTCTCCTGCGATGGT